AAAACCCCGGAAAATAAACCTCCGGAAAATAAACCTCCGGAAAAGAAACCCCCAGGAAAAAACCCCCGGAAAATAAACCCCCAGGAAAAAAAAACCCCCGGAAAATAAACCCCCAGGAAAAAAAACCCCGGTAAATAAACCCCCAGGAAAAAAAACCCACAGAATTTTTTTCCATTTTTATAGAATTTAATTAAGACCTTATTTGGCCTACTCTTCATAAAAAAATGCTTAAATAAGAAAAACTGATGTTTAAATTGGTACTGGGAAAAAATGCCTCAGTAAAATAACTATGTATTGTAAAAAAAATTTGTTATAGTAAAAATACAATCTTTAAATATGATATTAAATAGACTAAATTTGACAAAATAAGAAATGTTTATTTTATTGGTAAATCATGATTATGTATATACAAATTTTATAATTTATAATAATAATTATATGGGTTGACATCGAATATTGAAGGAAATCGCTCTTATAAAATCTGGAAGGCTTCGCACCCCATCACGGTATTCTTCGCAAAGTTTCTTTAGCCGAATCTGGTTGTTAGAACTCTGCGATTTTGTTTTCGATGTCCAACTACCTATGCGCCATCTTTCAAGTTTGGTTTCATCGGCAGCCACCTCGCATTTCATTTTTTTAATGAGTACCCAGATTGATGGGTGTTTATTCCCAACCAGATTAGAAAAACGATGATTAAAACCTTCGCATTGATTATTTGTTCGTTCTTCATCTGAGAGAGTGCTCTGATTCACGTTCCAGGTTTCTGGAGGAAATCGAGGCTCAATTCGACGTGTTTGGGATTGAGAATTGCTTCTTATGACCTCCCTTGATACTCCATTGACATAATTTTTATCGAAATAATCAAGAATATCCTTACCATTGCTCGGAGTAACCGATCTCAGGAATGTCATTGCATTGCCCATATCACATAACGGAAATGCTAAGCCGTCCATCATGCCACAAAAAAACTTAGTTTCATCGGTCCTGTATATACCACTCTGTCCTATTAAATATTAGATTCAAGGAATCATCTGTTGCGAACATTATTATGCGTTCTTCAGCTTGTGGGCCATTATCAAATAATAAAAATCGTTTTGAGTTCTGGGAGCCACAATTTGCCCAATCACCTATAAGATTTAAATTTTTATGAAAATATAATTATATTTAAACTAATACCTTCAATAACTAGGTCTTCCAAATTCTCAAGATTTGAAGGGTGTTGCATTGCTTTGTGATTCCTTAGAGTTCTTTTTATAGAATCTTCTGATAACATATGCGACTGAACTCTTTGGTCTAATTTTACAATTTCCTCTGCATAAATTTGAAGAGGTTTTGCCAAAGAGTCTGCACATCGCTTCTTCATGTTAGCAATGGATTTCATTGCTACTAGTCCATCAATATTTGAGGGATGATTATGAGCTGTATCAAGAACCGGGTCTTGATTATCGAGTGTTGAAAAAAGTATTGCTCGGCCTTTAAAAGAAGAATATGAATAAAATATTTTTGTAAATTAAAATTTTTTTTTTGTCTTTATATACGGCATAAAGATCCAAATTATTATTGTTTAATTTTATAAATAAATACCAATTATAGCGTTTTTAATTGATAAACAATTTTTATTCTTTTGATTAAAAATACATTTTAAAACTTTTTTCCGGAGGTTTTATTTCCTGGGGGTTTTTTCCGGGGGTTTTATTTCCTGGGGGTTTTTTTCCGGGGGTTTTTTTTCCTGGGGGTTTATTTTCCGGGGGTTTTTTTTCCTGGGGGTTTATTTTCCGGGGATTTTTTTTCCGGAGGTTTTTTTCCAGGGGTTTTTTTTCCTATTACCATTAAAAACACAAAAATAGTTGTTTTTTTAAATTTCAAGCATATATTATCAATTTAGTAAGTTAACATAAAAAATAATTTTCATGGGTGGGAGGGATTTGAATCCTCCCCCCCCCCTCCCATGCCTATGCCACTGGGCACAGTAGATTTAATTTTTTAAAAACTCTTATAAAATTAAATAGAAAAAATATTGCCCTAATTCAAACGGTAGTTGATTAAATTATCTATTTTTTTAGCAAATAGAATTTTTGATTTTTCAAATAAAAAAGAGCACATTGGACCAAGTAACAGGAAACATAACATAAGATAATATTTAAAAAAATTTTCAATAATAAAATATCTTTGTATTAATAAAGATTATGAGAAACAATAAAAATCTAAATATTTTTTATCTATAAAAATTTATGATAAAATATTGAACATGGTCCTACATACCTCGATCCAACGTGCCCCTAGTCCTCAATCATGATAGAAAATAATAAAATATATGAATAGTTTATATTTATATCTTATCTTATCTAGTACGTTGGTCATAGACCTGCCCAAAATGAGCGAACGTAAATTTTAAGATGGCCCACCCTTCATAAAATTATGCCTATTTTTTTCTCAAGGATATCAACAAACCTTGTACCCACTTGTAATTTAACAAAAATGAGTGTAACTTATTCTTTCCAATTTTGTAATAGTGAGATTTAGTAATGAGTATTATAAAAGAAAATATAAATTTAGTAATATTACCCATTTGAATCCATAGAATAACCACATCAATAATATAGAATGAGTTAATAATATTTGAATCCATACAATTACCTATCAATAATATAGAATGAATTAATAATATATAGTAGTTTCCATTTCATCGTTAATTTTTTGAGTCTAGAAATAAACAAATGATTAAATAAAAATAAATACTAATTCAAAAAACAATACAACCACTTATCGATAATACTAGTGCACCGGATGTGATAAAGGGCTTACCTCGGACTAAATTTACGAAGATAAATTATATGCATTTTATTTTCGCTTTAAAGACATCTTTTTTGAGTGTAAGTAAAAATTTAATGAGTTGACATATGATATAAATATTTTTTTCTCAAGAGGTTTATTTATATCATAATTATTTATTATAGGATAAAATTTAAATCTTAAATTTAATTAGTTTTTACACAAATCGGATTGGACCGATGTGTTTATTGGCCCCATATAACGGGTCTCTCCTATTTGTATTTAAAAAATTGAACTTTTCAAAATTATATCATTAAATGAAGAATTTCAGATTATATAGACCTTTAATTAATATATACTAATTCTTAAATTATTTCTCTGCAAGAAGTAGGCCTACAAAAAACGAATCGAATAATTGGGCTATTCGTATTTGTATGTACGAATCGAATAATTCATTATTCGTATTCATAAGACTAATAAAATCGACTCGATTCGAAAATTTTTCTAAAGCTATAAAAAATAGATTATATTTTGTAAAAAATATTTATAAACAGATGTTGTTGGTTTAAAATGACATTTTTGAGATGATATTTTGTTCGAATATTTTATCCATGTTTGACTGGATTGTTGTTTTATCAGATCATGTATTAATATTAGATATAACTTTGTATTCATTAAATATTTCCTTAATTTTTTTTAATAAAGTTTTAGTATTTATATTATATGTGGTAGGTAAAGTTAAAAGAATTCCATTATAAATAATTTAGAAATATACGAATAATTCGAATCGAATAATAAAAGTTTACTATCCTACGAATATTTTTTCTCATTATTCATATTCGATTCAAATTTTCGAATCGAATAATTATGCTATTCATATTCGTAAAATACGAATCGAATGTCGAATAACAAATAATTAGTTTTAGGCCCAGAAAGAAGTGTTAATTTTCAAGGATCTATCTTATTTATACGTAATAAAAAGGTTTTTAAATAAACTATATTTTCCAGTTGGTAATGCAGTTATAATTTATTAACTGAAGTTTTTATTTAGAAAGCTTCATCTTATTTACTGTTTCAATCAATTTCATTGAATTAAAAATTAAAACTTAAAAATTTAATTTATCATTTTAAAGGAATTCAATATCCGTTAGGAGCCGTCAAAAAATTTTTGTAAGTAAGAAAAGAAGTTCATATTTTTAATAACAATAATTGATCAAAATTTCTAAAAAAATATAACGAATAAATTAACAAAATAACGTTAACCGATTATATACCTAATAACATATTCTATCCCCTACTCCTATTTATTTATTGATTCAATACATTCAAAACAAAATGTTTGTTTTTTGGGTGGATTTTGTAAAACATTTTTGATATTTTTTGAATTATAATAATCTTTAACTACAGAGGAAGCTATATTAATATAAAAAGGGTAAATGATCAACCGGCTTACTAAGTAGTATGTCTAAGTAAATTCTCGGCAGAAGCACTAGGCGAAACAGATACCCTGAGGCGCGGGGAGGCCTGAATAAATTTTTTTATAGACAAAAGGACCAATATGGATATTGGCCCATAGGTGTTTTTGTTCGTGGGGGAGGGTTAGGGATTTTGCTTTATGCTTTTACAAAATTTGATTACAAAATAATTACAAACAATATATTTTTAGTTTAAAAAAACAACTTTGTAATAAAATTTTGTCCAATTTTCCCCATTTTTATTTATCGATTTTCTAGTGAATCCATAAAAAAAATTAGTGCCAAAATATAAAAAAAATTCATCAAATTACCACAAATTCAAAAAATAAAATCTTTATAATAAAAAAGTTAATTTTTGCTGGCTATTTTAAAATAATTTGGACAATGATATTCATTCATTAAATAGTATTCAAGAAGGAGGGAAGGAAGCATGACGGAAAGAAAGAAAGAAAAATAAAAGGAAGAACGAGAGAAAAAATAAACATAGGATACCTATAAATACCTCTAATGATTAAGGATATCATTTATTTTCTTTTATTTGTTAATTAATAAAAAAAAGTATTCTCTATTTATGTTGTAAAATTTTAAATAACAATTTATTTAAAACAATTTTTTAATTTTTTTTTATTATCATTTCAGCTTTATTTATTTTTTTTAATTATACCCATCAAAATTCAAAGCGCACATTCATAAAAAAGCCATTCCTATCAATAAATTTATGCCTTTAAAAGATCCAATAGCAATAAACAACTGCCAATATTGCCGGGTTCAATATAACAAAAGACTTCAATATCGTCCTAATTTTGACTCAGATTATGGAAATGGAGATCGCTTAAGGTATAAAATGAATAATTTTTTCCTAGTCAAAAGAGACCACAAAAATGTTATCACTATGCGCAAAGAATGGGCATTATCGGAACCTCCCAAATTCGACATTCTGCCTCCACCTTCCTTTTTCGCCGAACATTGTCTTGAAGAAGCTCTTATTAAACCAATAGACTTACTAAATTCTCATTCAGTCAGCTCTAAATGTTCGAGACCTTATTCGATGAATCCTCGAAATGAAATCAGCCCTGGAATCTATGATAATAATTTTAGAAATAAGGATTTGTTACTAGCTTTCAATAGTCTATATAAAGATGAACACAGTAAAAACGGTAATAATTTTAGCTGGATATCTTCTTCTTCCATTAGCCTCGCTGATGATGATGTTAAAGGGGGTTACCGAAAGTATGACGATTTAATGAAATACAAGCAGGGCGGACATGATTGGATGAGTGATAGTGATGCTAATGCCAAAGTTGTAGAGATGGATGTTTCTGTAGGTTTTTGGGTGACAATAGTGGTATCATCTCTATTTTTGGCCTCCTTGCTTTTCCTCGTATTTCTAACCGGATATTTCATTTATAAAAAGTAATAATATTTATTTTTGAATTATTTTTTAGATTTATTAATAAAAAAAGCAGCTAATTTATAAAACAGTTTTAGTAATAGTGAAAATCATAGTCCGGTATTTCCTCCGGACCATGCCGAAATCCAAATTGATTGGACGCTTTAAACGTTTATAAAATTAAATGACGCTTTAGCTAATAAACGCAGAATTTTTATAAAAAGTTCTTTTGAAAAAAATAATGTAGTAAAAATTATCTATAAACGAAACATCATGGAATAGTGTGGGCAATAATGAAAATTTCACTTTATCAGATATTTTGGTTTATTACATCCGATCAATTACTCTAATTGTTCAGCTATGCAAATTTTTTATTTAATTAAATTTCTTGACTTGAAATTTCTGAGTAAAAAAATTCCTATATTATAATTATTGTCATATATATGTTGTAGTGGGATATGTAATCCATTAGGATTCGGGATCTCTAAATTATTTACCTAGGGCGAATTTTAAATTTGATATATGTGTATGATATGGTTTGAAATGTATAAAGAATCCACATTGTGAATTTCAGACAATTTTGCCTAGAACCTTTGAATCATTTTAAATTTATATTAATTTTTTTAAAAAAATACAAAAGTTATGACAAAAATTTATAGGGTAAATATTTTATACATGCTGGAGAAAATTTTCGGTCAAATTAGATCTATGAAATTTAAAAATCTCCATTAGCAAATAATATAAAATTTAAAGATTCCACATTCCAAATCCAACATATACACACCTTTATTTAATTATGAATTGGTTTATAAATTTATCGAATAAAACACGTTAGTGGAACTAGGAAACCAAAATGTTTCATTGAGGGAATAGTTAAACGGGGTTGGTTTTGGTTTTATTTTAACTATTTAAAATAGTTTCGCTGGTGAGAGGAGAAATACAAAAGAATGCATTTAAGATTTAGATTTATAAATATTAAATATCATGATTTCACGAATTTGATAACTCACTCACAGTCACAATCACACCCATCTTTGGCCACTTCAAAAAAATGTAAAACCTTTATTGTTTGTAAAATGAAGTTGCTTTACAGTAGAAAAATGAAAGTAATATACACTTAAAAATCACTTTAATTCGATTGATAATTAAAGAGTAATATAAAAAACAGATTATCAATGATATTAATTATTTATTGAGCTTTTGTAGTAATTACAAAAGGCGCATCTTTGAACAAAATATCCTTTTCACGTTTTACAATATACAAAAAAAATTTCTCTATATCAAAAGTGTTTTGCAAAATTTCTTATTGCCTTAGGTATATATTTTTCTTTTTTTAAAAAAAGAATACTCATTCATTCAGAGGAATTTGTTTCGATTTGATTTGCCGATGTGGTCACTGTAAAAATCGATTTTTTTGTTATATAATACAAATAAATAAAATAAGAATTTTTTTTTAAAATAGGCATCCAAAACTGTTTTTAAAATGTGAAATTAACCAGTTCCATTCATTCGTCACTTTTCGATAAAAGATATATATGTAAAATACTCATTCAATTTTAAATCCTTGTCAACTTAAAATAATATTGTTGATAATGCATGTATGCAAAATGTCGATTTAAAAAAAGTGAGTTTTTTTTGTTACGTTTTTATAAAAAATTTGAGATTAACGATGTTTTTGTTCTTTAGTATAGATAATAGTTTCGTAATTTTAGCGAATTAAGGAATATGGAAAGGTCCCAGATGATCGAAAACAGAATTGAATATTGGGAATAGTAAAAAAATTAAATTAAATAAAAATGCCGGATGTGAAGGATTAAAAAATATTTTGATTCGATTGTATAGGTTTTTTTTCTATAAAATCCTGTATACTGTCCGACCCTCCTGGAGACCCTGGAACGCAAATTTCTTCTTTAGTCATAGGAGTAAATAGATGATGGGAAAAGAGTATTTTTGAATAAATTTAACATTTATCACTATTTAATGATAAATTTAGTCGTTGAAAGCAAGGGTCAAAATTTAGAGGGCTTTATTTGATTTATGGGGCCTGAGAGTGTAGCATAAATACCAAACGTTCAGGTTATAATACTATCAAAAATATTCATTTAGCACTTTCAAGCCTCACATTAACAAGAATAAATTTACAGATGGCTTTAGGTGCACAAGTTACAATACACTTACATACGTGGTAGAGATTGAGTGAATTCAGGGTATGGTGTATAGACAAATCTTTAAAACTTAAATCATTTATGGCGCGCGTTTATTATTTAGACCTGATTTTGCCCGAATTATTTTCTAGCATGCCTAATATGGCACCTAACCTTTGATTCATCCCCCCCCCCCCATCTTCTTTTCCCGATCTTTATTGATTTTTGGGCTTGAGCCACTAATAATCAAATGTATGAGAAGCCAGGAATGTTTAAAATAATCCATCACGTATTTTTTTAACTGTATTTATTTAATTTAAATTTATTTTTAAAACTTATTAGCAAGGTTGTAATTTTATTTTAGACTCGGTCTTGACTGCGATAGGGGCCCACAGGTCTCTGATATTTTTTTTTATGGATAATATAGAGTCTCTTCCTGATAGAAGCACCCTTTTATGTAATAGTTGGAGAACGTTCTGAGAAACTCCTGTATAAAAAATTTCAATGCCCATATCAAAAAACTGCGTCAAGAAGATATACTCTTATTTAGGTGATATTTTTTTAAAAAAATGAATATACGTTGATATCGGTAAAGGTCCTCAATTTTAAATCCTAATATACAAATTGTTAATATAAATTTTTAAATATAAAATATTAGCATATATTAATAACTTCGCTACGATGAAGATGATTTATTTGTAATTTTCATTTTATTTATCAAACATACTTAATACATAAAGGGGTCAAAATAATTTTGGATGGTTTAAAATGTTGTTTTTATAAAAAGAAAAAATTGTTGGCTAATTCATATTTAAATATTTAATGAACCTTGATAAAACAAATGCGATGGATGGGCAATAAACCACTGTAATTATTTTTTAAATATAGGAAAGTCTATAAAAAAGTTCCGAATTTATTGATTAGTATTTTATTTTATAAAAATATTTTAGCAATTTTGATAAGATATAAGAATATATTTTTGCATTCTAGACAAGGGTATAAATTTAGTATTCATAAATTATTGATTAATCTATTAAAAAAGGTTCAATATTTTAATTTTTGTTAAAATAATTGAATTAGCCTAGTTATTTAAGATGCATTGAAACACTGGCCCGTTAGAGGGGGTTCAAGGGGAATTTGATCCTACCTAATGGGATTTTACTATAATATAATGCAATTTTTATATCTCCCTCCTCCGAAAAAGGTTCTTACTTAAGCCACTGCTTTGAATTGAAATACCCATAAAATTATCGCAATAACAATATTTTAAATAGTTTTTGCTATACAAAAAGATTGATATTATAATACGGATTAAATATTATATTTTTATTATTCGCATTCGAAATTATTTGTGCTATTCGAAATTATTTGTAAATATTTGTAATTTTTCGTAAATATTTTATATTTTCATTAGTATTCGTAAGTAAGCAAAAATAAAAAGTAATTATTAAATTTTCCCAGTGGATTTTATTTTCATTTCCTCTTTTTGTTATTATTTTCATAAGTTTTATTTTGTGATTTCATATTATTACAAAATATTTTAAAAAATCGCATTATAAAGCGTACCAAGTTTTATTTTATGAAGTTTAAAAAAATGAAACGATGCAAAGTAAAACATTTTATTTTATATATACAATTTTTTCAAATATTAATATTATTCATATAAATTTGTTCAGATAACGCAATGAATATTGGGTTTTATTTATTTCTCTTGTTATTTTCTGTAGATTTTGATACGCTGATGACATTTACAGTGTGCAGATTTAATTTAAAACATTTCCATATTTTTTAATTTGTTTGTAAATAAAATTTTTTAATGTAAAAATTGATAAAAATATTTAAATAAGTTATTTTAACAATTTTTTATAAGTCAAATAATTTTATTTTCAAATAAATATGGAAATGTCTTAAATTAAATTTGCACAACACTGTAGTTGTTTTAGTATAATTCTTAAAAGTGTCATTCATCCACATCTGTAAATAATTTTTTTTGCAAAATATAATATATTTTTTTTATAAACTTTAGTAAATTTTCGAATCAAAGCGTATAATTATTTTATTATATACGAATACCATAATTATTCGATTCGAAAATTAAATCGAATTGATTCGTTTTTTTGTAGGCCTACTAATATGGCATCTCTTTAAAAATTAAATTTTTTGGGGTAATTTTGATCTAAATTCAATAAAAAAATGTAACCTTTCTCATTTCTAAAAAGAAAAAGGTTTTTGGATTCAATAAAAATTCCCTTAACCGGGCTCAGGGTTCGGAGCCAAATAAAATAAGAACTTACAAAAATATATTTAAAATAGAGAAACACCGTTTTTTACAAAATAATTTATCATAATTATATAATAATTAAATTAAAAAAATATATAATTGTATTTGAAATATTTCATTGCAAATTATCATCGATATGCTGTATTTTTGCATTATTCGCGCGAATTTTGTATACTCTGCAGCTAATTCGGGCGTGAATTTAGGGTAAGTTTGTCTGACAATTTATATTTTAACGATCCAGGGTTTAAAAAAATTATTCGCCTAGAATTTTGAAAAAAAAAATATCTTCTAAGATCAAAAGAATTGAAGATCTTTTTTCGCAAAAAAAATTTTGAGCATGCTCATAGAAGATTTTTCAAAATATAATATGTTTTTTGCTGTATCTTCTTCGATTTTCCCTTTGATGTTCTTTTTTAAAAAAGAATAAAAATTTTCCCAGATGTATTTTTAAATAAAATGGCTAAATTATTTTTTTTATAAAAAAATCTTCACATTTTTTGATCTTCAAAAGAGCAAGGAACTTTGAAGATTTTTAATTTTGAACAAATGTTAAAACCTGCTTTCAACACTTTTTAAAAACCATGACCATACAGGTGCG